TGTGGTTAGGGATGTCAACAATTGTAATTATGATGTACATTATAAAAATAATTTTTAATTAGTAAATGTATAATTGATAAATTAACTATTTTATGAATAAATAATTTTCAAAATCAAGATTATTTTAGTGATTACTCTATGCACTTTACAAATGTTATATAATTTTAATGATTTCAATGTTTGGTATGTTTTTGATGGTAAGCGTTGGCAGCGATTTGTCTCAAGTGTTGTTCCATTGATTTGCCGGTCGTTTCCAACATGTGAGCGAATATGCCGTCCCTATCTTCACACAGACTGTAGGGGCTGTCGAACTGAGCGATGAGTCCCGCATCCAAGACCAGCACTTTGTCGTAATCCATGATTGTATGCAATCTGTGAGCGATTGTCAATACAGTACACGAATTGAACTCATTTCTGATGGTCTCCTGAATCAAGGCATCGGTTCTTCAAAAACACGAGAAATCATTCATAAATCAGTACCAAAGGGACAGACATGTGACGGGTAGGCATACCTCGGGTCCACATTAGCGGTCGCCTCGTCCAACACAAGGATCTTATTATTCCTGAGTATAGCTCGAGCCAAACAAATGAGTTGTTTCTGTCCGACACTAAAACTGCCGCCACTTTCAGACACCAATTGATCCAATTTGTGGGGAAATGCAGTGATAGTGGACTTGAGCTGCACTTTGGCCAACACTTCCCAAAGCAAATCGTCCGCACATTCACCGAACGGATCGAGATTTTTGCGAACCGTTTCTGTGAAGAGAATCGGTTCCTGAGGTATGATTGATATGTTTCGCCGCAAATGAGATAAACTCATGGATGAGGTGTCGATGCCATCGATTTCGATGAGACCCGAGGGCTGAGTCATACGGAATAGAGTGGCGATTATGGATGACTTTCCGGCACCGGTTCGGCCGACTATTCCTATGGTTTGTCCGCCTTTTATGACAAGATTTAAGTTATGAAGAACTCGAGAATCGCTTCCTTCGTACTGAAGGCTCACGTCTTTCATCACTATTTGTCCCCATTTTGGCCACTCTTT